TCTCCTTATTTTTTTTTTCCAAATACAATAACTTGACCATCAGAATTAGTATTTCAAATATCGTTCAAATGCTTTTTTTTCATCTTTATATTTTTTCAATTTCATATTCAAAAAACGTCTCAAACTATTTTGACCACCAGGATTTCCATTTTCAGCGGTTTCTTTTCATCCTTATCTGTTCCAACTCCATATTTGTAATAATGTCCTAAATTATTTTGACCATTGGAATTTCTATTTGTAAGCTGATTACAAATACCATTCAAAAGCTTTTTCTTCATTTATATTCATTCCAATTTCATATTCGTAACATTCCAATTATTTTGACAATTCAAATATCTATTTTCAACAGATTTCAAATACTATTTAAAAGCCTTTCTCTCATCTTTGTATTCATTTATCATTTTGAAAACAACGTCCTATGTTGTTATGTGCTACAATATTCCTCTTTTCGCAAATAATCGATACTGTTGATATATGGATTTTTCATCTGGATTAATTTTTATCCTATATTGGTAGTTTAATAAATTTCAGATTTATTTGAATCATCTTGTTGTTCTCGTAATTCTTTGAATTTACTTTATATCTTTAACTGCGTCCATACTTTTATTTCATTAAAGTTGATATTTATTTTTAAAGGAGTTCTTTGATCTAAACAGTTACTGTATATATAATAAGTGATTACATTGTTATATCAGATTACGTTATTGTTAAGCAACATTTTGACAGCGAAAATAATTTTTGAAAAGTTTCTTTTATCATCAAGAGAATTTTTTGAATTTCGGCTAATTGGACCAAATCACAAACTTTAAATTTTATAATAGTAAAGATATTTGGATAACGCCATAAAAGTTATTCTGATTTTCTGATTGCATAATAATTCTTGATTTTCAATTTAAATATTGATTGTTATGTAATATTTGTCAATACGAATGTCCTCTCAATATTTGTTATTTTATTTAGCGAATAAAACAAATAATATAATAATTTACTTTAAATTAAATGTTATAAGAAATTCTGAATGAACGAAGTAATTTATTAAAAAAACGAATTTTTAAATACTAATTTATTTGTAATTTTCGCAAAATGCTTTGCGTTTACTGCGCAAAATGGCGTATCATATTAAAAAAAAAATTACCTGTCCAATGTCCTAATACCAAATGTAAAAGAAAGGGTAATAATAAAATATTTGAAGAACTGAAAAAGCAATGAATTAAGTATATAAACCATAGTCCTTAGTGCTAAAATATATTAAATGGTAAATACAAATAAAAATGTTCATATATAAAGAAGCATAATTAGAAAATAATCAAATAAACGAAATGATCGTTAAAATTTCACAGTATTTAAAACAATAAATTAATTGAAAAAATATATAAATTTTTTTTTTTTTAAAAAAAAAAAAAGGATTCGCTTTTTTATTTCATTTGTCATTCACAAATGATAAAGCATCTTCAGTGTTTTGCTCATATTCCTCAAAAGCTTCTTTAACTTCTCGAGCTAGCAACTAAATTCGGAATTTAATATTAATAATGTTAATGTAAGTAATTTATTGTAATAAAAAGAGACTTACAGCCACTTTATAATACATTCGTAAAAGAATATGAAATCCCCCATCTCTGTAAAGTCGCGTGGTAGTTTGGCGTTGTCTACTTCATTAAGGTGGTATTTTCCTCCTCCTAAGATTAGAATATCATTAGTCAATATAATGAGTAACTAATACTGAAAAAATAAATGACATACCACAGTAATCCATAAATTGCAAATGAATTCGGTTTAGAAAACTTTGACCACCAAAGATGGCCAGAGATTTGGGTAGTCGTATTCTGTACTTCACATTATCATTGACCATGCTTAAAAAAATGTTTTGTAGGTTTTTGGAGGATTTCGAAGCATCTGCAATCACTTTCTCATCTTTGTTGTTTGGCTTCAAACCTTCCATATAAACTAATTGATATTTGTCTAAATATCCTAAACCATCTGCTTATTTCTGTAAATCGTTATTCATAGTTATCTCTCCGAACTCGTAACTTATAGATGATATGTTAGGCTGACTTGCAAATATGGGTGCACAAATTCATTTTAATGCGTTCTTTTTAAGGCAGTCAAATTAAAAAGAGGACTAGTGAAAATTCCAAAATACTATAAAAGTTATATAAATGCCGTAACTAATTCAATAATTTGTAGGAAAATGTATGTACTTACAAAATTGGTAAAGTCCTACGTAAGATTCGTATTGTTGAAACCATTAAATGATCATTTTTATCCATTGTAGATCATCAATCTTATCATTCCAATCACTGCCCATTAAATTCTGACTGAAAAATTTAGTTAAAAAGTTGTGAATGTTGGATGGAATCAAACTTTTGATCCTGTCATCGAGATCATTAAGATAAATTGCAAGAATGTTTGAAGGGAGTTGCTTTGTAAAATTTGATTTGGACCTCAAATCAATCAGAGGACCATTTGGGCAGATTTCATTGTGGTATTGACAGATCGACATCATATTGTCAGAACAGTGAAATTCAGATTCAAACAAATCTTTAGTGACAGGTCCTATAGAAATAATACTATAAATACATTCCCTATTTTGTACATTTACAAGAAGAATGCGCATACACACTGCTACCATTTGATCGTCTTCTATTTCACGATTCTTTTTGAAAGATTCACCTGAGATTTCTGTTTCTAACGTAGAAAGATTCTGTAATTGTGTTAACAATCAGATTTATAGATAATTATCTCATATAATGCATCAATAACTACATATAATTACCAAAATTTCCTCAATGATACTTTTTTCGTCTTTATCATCAATAATATCCTTTGATTCAAAATATTTTTCAACTTGTGGGAATGTTTTTTGAACCTAAAAATGAAAGGTTAGTTATGGTATGGTCAAAAAGAATAGTAAAATTAATTTGCTGAAGATACATTTAAAAGAATTATTTTATCACAACAATTCTATTCAGAGGGGAACACAAATGGGAGGGTTTCTATTAAAATCGAGTTACGAATATAGTAAATCATATGATCCGTAATGTGTTTTAAATAGCAATCCTCCCAAATGATTGCTTGTACTGACGTAAATTGTTTTCAGTATTCAGCACATACCCTTGCTTTATCTAAGGCCCTTTAAAAATCCCGAGTAGTACCCAGATGTATAATTTGCTTTAAGTACTTCTAATTCTTTTATGTATTGAGAGTACACTTTCTTTATTGAACGCCTACATTCCGCCAGAAAAATTTGTTGAACAAGCGATTTTAATTGTGTTCAGAGCGTATACAATAAGTTTAAACAAAAGGCAATTTCCATACCTATTCTGTTCTGTTACGATGCTTTAAGTAACTAAGATAAGTTGGTTTAGTGATCTTTAGCCAATACTCAAGATTTGGTAATAGGTTTTCTCCACTAGATGAGTCTATCCATTCTCTCTTGATTCTCATTTTCGAGAAAATAATTACAAAAGGAAGAGAGTGAGTGAGTTAGAAACGTAAAAAATAGTTTGTTTAAATAGTTATTCAGGAGGTCTTACGATTAACAGAATCAGGAACGTGAATTGATTTCAGAAATTGATGATTTATTAAAGCAACTTTACTATTTCATTAAGGTTCAACACAATTATAGTAAGTCATTATTGGCGTCATGCTTTCATGCTTTGTGCAGCCTCATTAATGTCTGAAAAAAAAAATTAAAGTTTTTCTATTTATGGTGTTTCATACCTTCGTAATTTTACAACTTTATTACTTATCTGATCTGTCAAACAAACGTTCGTTTGAATAATCTTAAATAGAAAATTTATGCATCAATCACATGCAAACTACAATTACAATCTTTACGCCAAGCGTTGGGTTACCACAAAATGCTGACCTCTCATTAATAATAAAAAATAAATAATAATGATTAAAATGGATAATAATGATATCAATTAATCATACGCTTATTAATGATTTGAAGTTTACCGACCATTATAACATTTTTGGAACTAATGAGTTGGAAGAGGCAATTTTTTTTTTTTTTATAAGAAAACTAGCAATAACCTGCGGGCTCAAATACAAAAGCATCCAGTGAATTAATAGTAATATCTGGTAATTTATTAATCTTCAACCTACCAATCCATCGTGAAAAAGTAATCGAAAAAAGCAAAAATTAAAAACAAAGTTAACAACCCGCGGTCACAAACTAAGGATAAATCATAATGAAACCCGATGCAAGCCCGATTGTATTACATACGGGAGTGTCAACTGCTAAGATGGTATGTCATATGGCTGTTTCTGTGACAAAGTTAAAAATTGATTCTAAGCCAAAAAAGGAAATTGGTTACGATATGTTTCTTCGATCTAATGAAAATACATGTTACACAACTCACATTTTTTTATACAGGAGGTAAAGGTTATATTTTTTTTTTATTTTTTTATATGATTGAGTACGTTGATATTCGTGATGCTTTAGCTATTGTTCACAATTTGTGGATAATCTAACTAAAAACCTTTTTGTTTGACAAAATAAAAATAAATTTGTAAATTTGCGAATGGTATTAAACACCAATTCGGGATCGACTAAAATAGTAAGATATTAAAATCACCCCTCCAACAAAATATGAGATTTTTGATTCATACTATTATATCTTATTAACAAGGATTTCTTACGCTAGCTTGCTGAAAATGCATCTTTATTTGTGAATGACAATTGAATCCTAATGTAATTACATTATATAATAAAGAAATCGGTTAGCTTATCGTTATACATATTTATTTCAAATTTTGAATTACTCAATTGCTTCTTAATCTATAATGTCGGTAGTCGAGGATAATGCTGTAATAGAATGATTTTATCTACTTTTATAATTTGAAGAGGCTGAAAACGGTTCTATTGGTGTTGAAAAACTTCATTGGAAGATGATAGCGGAGAAATTCTTTAATACTAAGATTCTCCTCTTTGTATATTCTTTAAAAATAGAGCATATTTGAAAAGATTTACGAGTACCACACGCCCTGCTTACGCTGAGCAAAATTATAAGTCAAGAATTATGTCTCGCTATACATATTTAGTTCTTTAACGTTAATAAAATGTCTCGTTAATTTTACGAGATATTAAATTGTAAGATTGTATCGCTAATTTGATCAAATTCTTTGTTTATACTACTCTCATTTAAGACAAATTTTGTTTTTGAAACTATTCCATTATGATTGCCGACTACGTCGCAATAATGACTTTTATTTTCCCTATATTTTTTATCTTTTAAAATTCATTCTATTTTAATATTACTTAACATATAGAAGTCGCATAACGTAAAACGAAAAATAATCGGATCATCCGGGTCGAACAAAACCATGACCCGACCCGATGGGTTTTATTAAATTAGGACTCGTGTCATAATAATGATAACCCGACTCGAATTAATCTCGAGTCGGGTCGAATGACCCGGATCGATTCGAAGCACTATCAGAAACTAAAGACCTTAACAATGTTAATTAACACAGTATACATGTACGGAACGTTGGACCGTTATGTATATTATAAGCGTTGAATGTTCAACCGCTACATAAGTTCAAAAAAAAACTTCACTTAGTATGAATTGAAGATTTCTCTACAACTGTTCGACATGCATTTAGGAAACGAATTAAAATCTAAAATTAAAAAGCCATGATATGAATTCTCTAAAAAGATCGTATTTGAAGATTCGATGATTAGAGTAAAGTTATATGGAGTGGCGAGACAAAGTCTAATTCCGGATATTTGACATAAAGTAAATTTGGTTTTTACCGCTTTTTATTGTAAAGGTCCAATATGGTATGGTATGTTGAAGGATCAAAATAAATTAAGCTGAGCAATTTTATTTGAGGTTTTGTAAAGGCAGAAGAAATTGAAAATAGGAGGTTTGCTATTGAAATCACGTTACGGATCATACCGTATAATTAACTATGTTCGTAACTCGATTTCAATAGCACATTTAAAAGATCGATGGAGGTTTTGGCCTATACCATTCCAATCTATATTGTTAATATTACATTTCTTTACATACGGCCTTTTCACAACTAATAATATGAATTGTTTGTGCGACAATCTTATTTATTCCAGGTCACTAGACATCGAACCACCTTTATTATTGATGTAAAATCATGACGTTAGCAACTATAAATTCAATTCCCTAAAGTTGACCATTGCTCCAATTTAAATTGAGGCAAATTGGAAATTGAGATTTGAAAATGTACAAAAAAAATACGAGTACAAATTGCTTTTTAGACCGATACACGGACCCACTCACTTTCCGTAAGGCCGGGCAAAAAAAATTCTCGTGACATAAAATTTTAAAATTGACACGGTCACCCGGTTTTTTTTTTATATATATATAAATTTTTTTTATATGTATTTTATATTATGTTTTGTATTACGCAAATATTAAGGTAAATGAAGGATATTACTATTATTGTAGTGAGTGTTATATGACAGTTTCTGGACAAAAAAAACGTGCTAAGAATATCAAGTTTCAAATAACAAAAAAATCACGAAAATAGTATGTTAAATTTTTTTATAATAAAGTATATGCTATTACGATTTTTCATTATATAAGTCGCGTGATAAAAAATTTACTATAAAAAAAAATCATGAGAATCTAAAAAATTTTTTTGCCCGGCCTAATAATGCTAGTCACGGGACGGCCGAGATAAGGAGTCGGACGCTATATTCGGACACTGATCCGAAAAAAAAGTTTATAATTCTATACCGAGCTTTTTTTTATCGTATCGGCAAAGTAATTGTAAGTGTAGGTAAAATGATCGTCGGTTAAATAGAGAGAAAAAAAAAAATAAGAATAAATATTATTCAGTTCTTTAGTTTTTACCACCTTTTCTTTCGAAGATATGAAGTGTTAGAATACCTAGTACATGTACGAAACCGAGGGTGCAAATGAACGGGAAACGTAATTTACAAGTATATATAGTACCTATCTCATAAGGTCCTGAATGTTTTGTATTTTTTTGGATGATCTTGGTTGGGATGCCTATGTACTGTACCAACCCTATAATTCTAATTGATGGTTCTTATTTCTAGAAATCTATGGCCCATTGATTTGATCCTTTATATTTAGAAATTTGTAACTAGCTTGCCTAGTGCAGGATATGAGAAATAAAATATTATCGTTATATCAAAATTTTAATTTATATCTGTATATCGAATATGGTATATCGAGGCAGACTGTATGTAATAAGACGAAGAAGTGGATATGAGAATCATAAGAAACAAATACGGCTTATTGCCTATTTTGCAGATAGTGCTCCGTAAGGGTCGAGTCGGGTCGGGTTTAGAACATATTCGAACTTGAACCGTCGACTAATTAAACTCCGAACTTTAAGGATAATATTAATGTCGAAAAATAATTAATTTTTTATTTTGCAATTAAGTAAATATATCAGTTAATGATTACAAGTATGAATTATAACATCTAAAGTTTATTTATGTCTTCGTTTGAAAATTAATTCAATCTACAAATTTATTGTATTTGAATCATTAATCTTGCGGCATGTATTCAAAAAAAAAAAAATAAAATAAAAAAATAAATAATGTATACATACAGTGGCGATCAAAAGTATTGCATCACCCGAATACAAAATTTAAAATGGAAATATCTTGTAATTTAAAAGGCACAGTGTTACAAAACTTAAATATAGAGTTCGTCATACCTTAATCTTTATCAATCTCTTTCATCTTTTTTTTAAGAATATTTTTTTTTTTTTTGTTATGAATCTTTCGCCAAAGTGGCGATGCATTTCTTTTGATCGATTTAAGAAATAAATATCAACACTTATTACGCGATTTTTTTTTGCTTCAAAACAACTATGCGACACATATAAAAAAGATGCCTTGTGGCATTTTTCGCCACTTTGCAATTTTATAAAATAATCTATGGTTTATCTTTCTGTTGAAAAAAGAGCTAGGATTTGTGTCTTATTTGATGAAGGTTTTCCCTCCCGCTATATAGCAGACAAGGAAAATGTTTCTCAATCAACTGTTTTAAGAACCAAGCAACATAAAGATAAAACTGGTAACAATAAAGACAAATCTAAATCTGGGCGTCCGCAACTCTTAACTGGTTGATATGAACGAAAAGTTTTGAGATTAATTACAACAGGTGGATGTAGCAATGCTGTTGTAATTCAAAAAAAATTAAAAATAGAAGAACAAATTGAAGTTAATGAATGTACAGTAAAGAGAACCTTACATAGAAATGGAATGAGTGCAAGGGTTAAGTGCAAAAAACCATCTTTTTGAAAAACACAGAATCGCAAGGATGAAATTTGCAAAAAAAATACAAGTTATAGACAGTTGAAGATTGGAGTAAAGTGGTTTGGTCAGATGAGTCAAAATTTATGATTTATGGATCAGATGGTAGAGAGTATTGTTAGAAAAAGCCAGGAGAATCATTATACAATCATCATGTTAAACT